AGCCTACAAGTGTGGAGTTTATTGTTCAGTGTTTTGCTGGTGTTAATGCTTGTCACTGAGTCTACTGCTATAACAATACATCGTCGACGAGCATCAATTAATAAGCTGAATAGGTACGTTGCATGTTCAACCGATACCTGGTATCTTTATTTACTGGGAATGTACAACTGTCAACAAGATCTTAAATAACATTTCACTTACTGTTATACATACAATATCAATCTTAACCAGACAAATTATCATTTCACTCGATTTCAATTAGCAATGTTGGAATGCAAATGCTAATTGCTACAGAAATTTCTATTTCTCAAATAATTTTCTAAAATGACAAGGATTAGTAAGATTACAACGACAACATTAGTTCATTAACAATTTTGTTCAACTTAATATAACCTAATATATATCATTTTGGTCTATTTTCGAATATTCAATGGACTTAACTGTTTCATTTGGTCGTCGGATTTATTTTGCTGCCCCACCACAGTAAATTGAGGCAAAGCATATACTAGATGCAGTGTATCAGGTTTTTTGTGCTTTACCAATGTACCGTTTTTCGTCACTTGCACATTCGTCACATTATATCACTTGCCCGACATTTAATGAGCTCCTGTGTGAAACACCAAATGCGGCCAAATGATTATTTAAATTGTATCATTACGATTGCATACCTGGGATATATTTTTGAATATTCAGATATTTCCTTGCATGTACGTTGATTCATTCATTAAAGGGTGCCACCACGCGGTCACTGACAGTTCCCGGCGGCACAGAGATGTCTTAAAGTTCAACAAAGCTTTAGACACGAATTCTTACTGAATATCAATATTATCTATGATTGAAGAATTCTTAAATTTTGGTGAAATCTAATGTTGGCTTAACAACCCTAACAGTCAGACCAATCAGAGAACAGTTTTTTTCTATGTATCAAATTCGGCCTTGTATATATTGCTTCGATTCATCTGCAAAATCGACGTTATTCAAATAAATCTAGACAAATATAATTTGAAAAACATTTGGCCGTTAGGTCAGCCCAATTAGCAAATTGAAAATAATTAAATGTCAGACTTTTGTATAATTTATTTAAAACTCATTACTGAACTATTGTTAAATACAGAATATAAAAAATAGTAAAAAATACAAAGATGCTAAAAATATCACGAATAACATGCTACACGCTATTCAGAAATTGATTGGCCGTCATGTACTGAGTATTATATCAATACATGAAGGGAATTAGTCTTACCAATTTAATATTAAATGTACTTTAAATAATATTTCGTTCTAATTTCAAATTATATTCGAAGTAATAGTATCCAAATAGGGATATTTTTTTTTATTTATACACCTTTCTTTGGTCATTTATTTTTGTGGGATTGAATTCTTAAGTTTGATCTGATGGCTCTTCGTTCGGTTATCTTCATAATTCTACTAAAAAAGCATATTCAGAGCTTTTGATTCTATAACTGACAGTCAATCAATCACTCACGAACTGACCCAACCCCAACCAACCAACTATACTCGCTTACTCACTCACTCACTCACTCATGTTTTTCTTAAATACAGAGGTGATAAAATAGATGTCGAAGAAAAACACTTGGGTAACTTGAGACAGAAGAAAGAAGCTGTTGCCGGGAAAGACCTCGATGACATGCTGGATGATATCAAAGAATGACACTAAACATGGATACATTGTATCTTGGTCTTATTATATTATGCAGACCTACAGTTACTAATCTTTATGTAAACCATTACAGTCATATGAATGTTTAATAATGAAACCTGACACAGCTAATTAAAATATCGATTTGAGTAATTGCTAATAACAAAACTAAAATGCTTCTCTAAATAAACTTGTAATTGTGCAAGAAATAATAAAGAATGATTCTTGTTGTCATGTAGTTGTTAATAGTACTTTATCGTAAAACCTTTGATGGATTGTATCGTACACATACATTTATTGTTAAAGAGGGCTGAGGAATAACTTGGATTTGTTTTAACATATTTAAATTTTAAAACAAAAATATTATTATAGTCTAATTCATCGTAAAATGAAAATAATGTTTTGTATGGAACCTAAAAGAATGCAGTACGTATTGTTACCTGTACGTATAGGTAGATTCATGATGCAAGCACTTTAGATTTTGATCCCTAAAAGAATGCAGTACGTATTGTTACCTGTACGTATAGGTATATTCACGATGCAAGCACTTTATATTTCCCACTATTTCATTAAATTAACATGTCATTCCCATTGCCTCTTTAGCCCCATATGCAGTATGTCTATTTTTTCCCTTTATTGAGTATTATCACCGATTTTTCCCCAGTGGAGTGATATACCAGGCAAATCTTATGATGGTTTGTGAAACAAAGAAGTGTGCAGATGCAAGCAAAAATGTTATGTCTCTGTGCCATGTTTGATTGAAAATGATTTATTTATGTCTGAGAAATGAGGCTAGATGAAAAGAGTACAATCTACACAAGTCCCTGGTTTGGGCAAATGTGTAAGACAGGAATGTTACTGATGATATCGTGAACACACTTTTCAATCAGTCATTTGAAACTTTTTTTATGAGCAAATCTGCCTGGTATCAACATTTATTGAATTTCCTCAGCAACAGAAATGTGGTGAATGCAAATTTACAAGAAATTCATAGTTCTTTTTGCAAAGAATTGATATTTTGGATGATTGAAGTCTTCATATCTGGATTTTTGTCTCTATACAGTGAGGTCCATTTTGGTATCACCACAGATTCAATAGATCTATAAACACTGTAAAGGAAATTACATGCAAGCAAGCTAACAAGCGAAATAGCTCTGCTGTCTTTGTCTTGTCATTTTGTTGTTGTAACGGCAATTACAAGCGTTAGATGTTATTGCTAAAAATCTCATTAAGGCAATTGAAAATACTATTTTCTTACCACAAATATTCACCAAAAATAGAGAATTTAAGATATTGCTCACCAAATAAACAAATCTGACAAAGCTCCACCCAAGGTACCTGTCATCATTGATGTAAAAGCTAAAAAAGTTTTGATCGATAAATATCTGCGAAAAATACAGCAAACTATCGTAACAGCGATAAAAAATGTGTACAATCTCGCCATCAAATTTCTGTACTAGAGATACCAGTGGGCACATGTATATAATACTAGAAAGTCAAGGATACAATGTAGTTTGTGGTGATGTATTCGCTTCATCTTCTGGATATTCTTGGAAAATATGACATATCTTCTCTTTATTCTGCAGTCTCCAATTCTTTGCAAACTCTGGGAAAAACTCAATCTAGGAAAGCACATACCAGAAGCATGCACAAATTCAATTACTAGCATTAAAGATGGAAATCAAATAACAACAAGCAGCCTGTCGGCTGAGATAGCTCCGCTGTTAGCAATACACATTTCAATTAAAGAACTGAAGATATCATTAGAAAATGTATAGTATCAAAGCAATCGGGCTTGCTGTTTTCACAAAGAAGTTGAAAATATCACTTTTTACCAAAAATGACAAAATTATTCACCAAAATTAGAGAATTGAAGATATCAATAAATTTAATAATTGTGTGATGTCCTGAGAATTCACTGTGGATGGAATAACATACTTACATTACAAAATAAGTTGATAATAGGTGTTGGTATAGACTTGGTATGAACACATAAATCCAACACAAGCTGCATTAAATGAACATTCCATGGTTGGTGCACTAAATGATTATCTGGAAAAAATTACAACATTTTTAACTATTTTTACATACATGTACACTTCCATACTTTGCCACCATTTTTCAAAACAATTAATCTGTCATCTTCGATCAAAACTTGATAAGTTAAACTCTACTGTAAAGTACTTTATTTTCACTTTGAATTTACTTTTATTATTTTCACAACAGGGAAGAAAGAATCAGCGATCAGTGAATGTACAGTCAAGTAAAAATACCTTTTTTTTCTATATTTTACATTTAACTCATCAAGTAACAGTGAAAAAAAACTTCATACAAAACAGCCAAGAATTAATTCCAGTTAAAATAATTATTATACAATACACTGTCCAAAAGTTTTATTATACCATTACAGTAAATTTGAATAAATTACATAGTCTATGTTACCTGAAATAGTATCTGATATAGTTAAAGTCTTGCACAAATACACAGGAACTCTGCGACATATTACCTAGTCATGGTATTCATGTATACGTATATTCATAAAGGCATCAACATTATGAATCTCATACACACACATGTTATTGGATAAAGGTCCATCTACTTGTACTAAAGCATGTCTGAACTGAACACCAAAAGGACTTTGAGAATTGCTCGGTATAATTCTTTTAATTAAAAAAAATGAAAAGACTATAGTGTTTCGTATGCACATTTTTTAAAAATTGTTTGGTTTAGACAGGTTACAGTGTTTAGTTTTCTACAGGTTTCTAATTTACACATTACAAGTATTCAATTTAGACAGATTTAACTACTTACTAAAATCTGTGTCTATATCTGAAGTATACTTCAATAGATGATACAAACAATCAACACCTCTGGACTGTAATAACTCATTATTCTAAAATAATACAAAACAAATTTATAGTCAGTGTTAATAAGTAGTAGTTAATCAAAAGTTCTACGCAAATCATCCAACTTACTGGTAATATACTTATGTTCAATAAAACATTTTGAATGTTAGTAAAAACAAGTAATTGTATTACAAGGTTAAAAAATACATAACATGAACAGTTTAAGAGCATATCAGAGATATGGCTCCAGTTGGCCATTTTAGTCCAATCTGAAAAACAAAATGATGACCATTAAGGTTCACTAAAGTTTGATAAGCCAAGTTTGAATTGGTTCATGACCAAGATCCAGATCGGCATTACAGAAATTAAAACAAAATGGCTACCAGGTAGCTGTTTTGAATCCAACCGAAAAAAATGATGAAAAATCATTATGAAAAACGTCTATACACAAACAAAATTTGATGAATTCATAACATTAAATTGGCCGCCATTAAGCAATCTTTTATTGGATTGCCAAATACATGTGCATATGTGTGACATGATACATATGGGTGGGAAGATGGTTACAATTTTAAACCCCCCAAAAAATAATCTTTTCTGAGGTGGTCCTCGAGTATAAGCCCACCCCCTAATTTTCCTGATTTTATATGTTCAGGCCCCTGGGCTTATATTCAGGGAAGTACGGTATGATTATATATATAATTGAATATGATCATTCAAGGCATATCACAGTGATATGGCTCTGGAACAGCATTTGTTGAAACAACTGGCCACCAATCAGCCATTTTGAATCAAATCTGAAAAACAAAATGACATTCATCAAAGTGCCATAATGATACACACCTGCATAATATACAGAGTACATATGGACAACCAATATATACCAGTAAAATACAAGAAGTATGGGCTAACCAATATAAGCCGACATAATATACAGGATATGGGGAAACCAATATATGTATACATAATATACAGGGTATGGGGCAACCAATATATGCATACATAATATACAGTGTATGGGGCAACCAATATATGCATACATAATATACAGGGTATGGGGAAACCAATATATGCATACATAATATACAGGGTATGGGGAAACCAATATATGTATACATAATATACAGGGTATGGGGAAACCAATATATGTATACATAATATACAGGGTATGGGGAAACCAATATATGTATACATAATATACAGGGTATGGGGAAAGCAATATATGTATACATAATATACAGGGTATGGGGAAACCAATATATGCATACATAATATACAGGGTATGGGGCAACCAATATATGCATACATAATATACACACCTGTATAATGATATTTTGTAGTAGAATATAAAGTTGTTGTAGTTGTTTTGTTGGTATTGGTAATCTGACATCTCTATCAGCAAGCTGTGATCTACAAGTGCTTCTGTATAGATGTATTATATTGCTTTTACAACCCACTGAGAGCATTGCAATCCAAACGTGCAGGGCACATGCTGAAAATAAAACTTAGAATGTAAAGAAGATGTACACTGAGAGAATGCTAGTATGATTGATATTTCATGCAACAAGGCTACTAAACAGGGATGAGAAATGAGAATTTTAATTTTCAGCTGAAAGTAAAGTAGCCAGTGTCAGAGAACCGTAGTTGATCAAATCGTTACAATACAGACACTGCGCCTTTCCCGGGACCTCGCACTTGCTGATGAAGTCACTCAATTTTTCAGTTACCACTTCATTTTTCTCCCAATTCGCACGGTCAAAGTCACTTCCTTGTCAAGCCATCGATCTCTCGCAACAAACAATAAAATGGCGCCGTTAGCGAAAAGAAAATGACAGCTCTTCACTGATTGGCCCATCAGAGCAAACCCAGCCAATCATGTTTAATCGTTACATATTACTTCGAACACTTCAAAACCACTTCGGATTTTACGATTGCACTGATGAAAAGAGTCGCGAACATTCTACATTGGAGACATCGTGAGTTGTCTCCCTTCGACCATACACTGATACAGGCCTCTTGCAGCCGACAACAATGACCCAACAGCATGTTTACTTCCGGTGAATGAACAAGATTTGTATTCTTACCCCCCCCCCCAAAAAAAAAAATTTGCTCCTCGAATTTAGAAGTTTCAGAAAATCGATCCCTAAGGCTTAGAAAATTCTCATCCTTGACTGAAAACAGTGAAAATAAAGTCTTTTTTTCTCTACAGGACAGTGATTTGTAATGTTACAAGGATGAAGTAATAGACAATAATCTGAAGAGAACTATAAAAAAAATTGTGTTTACATACCTTGGACCAATGTAGGATGTTGTCCGCTGACCAACTTGATCAGATGTTCAAGACATAATGATACCATCTGTTCTACCTATTGAATAAACAATTTTCATACTCTGAATCACTTTAATTTTGTTAGCATCAAAAAATACTGTGTCATGCAAAGGAATTTATTTTCACTGAAGAAATAGACAGAATCATCCAGTGTACAAGTCTGATCAATATAAAAGCAGTCGGGCATATTGTTTTGAAAACAAAAATTAATTATTGGCTCTATTCAAGCATTCATTTTAAGCCTAATCCAATTATAAAATAATTTTTTGTTAACTATCACAAAAGAAAATCTACATCTAAAATGTCACATCTTTTCTCGAAATTTGAGCAAGACCTGTCTATTTGGTCCAAATACTGGTAGATGAAATAAAAATAGGTTAACCCAAGTTTTGGCAAGAACATTTTTTTTATTTACTTTGCATGCCATCATTTTTACAACGAAAAATTTGGTCCAACATTTTTCACATTTATATGACTATTTTTTTTTTATACTTTATTCATTATTTTTTAACCAAATTAAAATAATTTCAAAATAGGTACATGTCTTGATCAATATTTTTGTAACAAGGTGAGACAAAAATTATGCAGATTTTTTTTTTGGTGGATGATGACAGAAGATGACTCAATTCTATCAACAAGGGGAAAGACATACCTGTGACTTGTACTGGTGCACTAGTTTTATGAGTAATGCTATTGTAGTTAGGGATGTACACTGATAAGATGGCAAACTTTCTAACTTAGACCAACCTTCTATTAGTCTAATTATATATCTATTAGATAGTATCATTGATATTACTGTAAATAAAAACATAGACATCAGTTAACATATATTAACTTTTGTTGCAAATGCAGCATCACTTTTTTTTTTTAAATAAATATTTGTGCTTATAATAAGGAATCGTCTTGTCAGAGTAACTTAGCCAAAAATCCAATCTGAAAGTTTCTGCGTTTGCGAGTTAAATTTCCAAAACCTGATAGGCACACATTTTGCAAATTTAATCCAATTCATCAATAGAGGGCTCTGTGCAGTGGCTAAATATGTTAGAGGGGGACAATCAACCCAAACATTTTTTGCTAGTATGGCATTATTTTTTTGGTAGGTGTAAGTAGAAATTGTCATTTACCTGGACTATCTGATTGCTTGGTGGCTTGTATTAGTATAAAATTAAGATAATTTAAAGAATGAAAATGAACTTCAGTCTCAATATCATTGTCAGCATTGAACAGTTTACAAACTGAAAAAAACAAGAAAAGTAACACTGCAAATGTATACACACACCATGCAAAAACATCTTATTGAAACATCTCCATAATAGTAAATAGGACTTTTTTTCCTCAATTGCTAATTTTCTTGACAAGTTGCATTCCCATTTTCTATTAGATGCAGAACATCTCCTACTGATTATTGTGAGATCATCTTCGAAAATGATAAAATGTGTTGCTATAGCAACAAATCCTGAAATGGTTACAGCAAGAGACCATCACTATGAGCCACTATTCTGAATGAGAAATGCTTACAGCAATGGACCATCAACATGAGCCACAC